GAGGAACTGGAAAAGACTAGGAAGAAAATCATAAAAATAGAAGGATTCTGCAGCCAGATCCCTTTCCTGACAGTGGGGATTGGTGACAGTGCACTCTGGGTGTGGTTTAGACAAGAAAGGTGAAGTGGAATTCCAATCGGCAGACCCCAGACTCGAAAAGACTGGCAATTGGATGTGTGTTTATATATTGTACATTAGGATAAAGTGCATAAGATATGAGTATGATTTTATTTGGCTCTTTTTAAATGACTTTTTCAATTAATCCATCAGCCACCATACCAATTGCATCAGCTAAAAGCTAAAAGTGCTTTTGCCGCTGTCTGCTGTCTTATGCTCAGTTCTGGAAGCACATTTTACAAGAAGCACTGAGGAACCTGAAGGCATTCCAGGGAATGGAGATGGGGCTCTACAGCTCAAGGGGCCCCGATGGTATCCACAGATTCTGCTGGGCTGTCAGGCCAGAGGATGTGTGCACTCAGAGAGAAGAAGGTCCCTGTCTGTCTCTCAGTCTCACTCTTGACCTATTCAGCCACATAGTATCTCCCTTTCCTTTCAAGGAATTATCCTTTCTGCTCACACTCTAGATTGCAAACTCAAAGAATCATTACAAATGCCCTATGGATGGACTTTTATCCTACCCACAATTGCCTTTAATTTTAGGCCGTAGGTTTCCAGCTGAGAAAAACACATGTTTTTGCACTTAACACCTTCCTTAGCCCTTCCCTAGCTTTTAGAACAAGATCAAAGCAACAGGGAGAGGATCCTTCTAATTGGTGATACCAAGTGACCAATAAATGAAAGTAGTACTTACGATATGCCAAGTACTATGTTCACAACTTTTTAATGTATTATCTCTTTTAATTCTCATCGACTTTGAGAGGTCGTTACCAGTGTCCCCATGTACACAGTTGAAAAATGGAATCACAAAGAGGGGGTGGTTTACTTTTCATACACATACTCAGCTGGGAGAAACAGAGCCACGATGCTCACACGCCAGACTCTAGAATCTACGTTCTTTCCAACACGTAGCACTGTTCGCAGAACTGTGAAGAGCAAGGCAGGTTTTCCTGTGAAAGAGTGTGTGTATCTCAAAACAGGGAAGCAAGGAAGATGTGGCTGAACTTGGATGGCACCTCTGCCATCTGCTAAGAATATTAATACTCACAGGAGTAAAGCGGCAGGGAAGGGATGAGTCAGTGCCAACTGTGAGAAAAGAGAGAAAGCTGGGCAGAGATGTTTTGTGGTCACAGTTGAAGAATTGTGTACATAGGGTGACCTGGAAGGACAGTGGTTGCCAGAAAAGCAGGATCAACCACAAGCTAATAGGAACCTGCCCAGTGCTTGAGTAGGAAAAAGACCTTCCCCACAGGCCAAAAGGGTGGGAAGAGGGGAAGTAGCTGGGTCTCGAGGGTAGCAAGTGAAGGAGCTGGACCAACCCGCACATATCTGGAGGGGCATGGGGAAGAAGGGCTGTCCGGGGGTGGACAGAGCCTCTTCAAAGAGCTGAACCGTGGTCAAACCTGCCCTGGACTGGACACGTCCGGGCAGTGCTAGTAACCCAGCTGTGTACATGTGGTTCCTCTAAGGCTGGATTCTCAAAGTGGGCTGAAAAGGAAACTGGGGAGAGAGCCCGGGTATCTATTTGTGTTTAAAAAGCTCTCCAGGTGATTCTGGTACCAGCTCAATTTTGAGAACGTTGGTCTACCCTTGGGCTGAACCAAAAGGCCTGCAACCCGATTCAGGAAGTTATCACTGGATGCCTTGGAGAACAAAGATGACCATCCCCAGACCAAGAAGCTCAGAGTGAAGGGAGGAAAGTGGATAAATAAAAATGAGTATAATAGGAGCCCAATAGGCTCATGTGCAGAGAGTTATGGGAACACAGAGGAAGGGTCTTTAACCCTGAAGGAGTCTGAAAGGCTTCCTGGAGGAGGTGATCACTGAGCTGATTCCTGAAAGAGAAACCATTAGGGGTATAGTCTTCCCCAGAGAGATCTCCTCTCCTTTTCCCCTTGAGAGGCTGGTGCGGCTAAAAGGGACAGTTGTCTCCTTCCACTGCGGGAAATTTGGGGACGCTCCACAGACACCAGATGGAAGAGCAAGTCTGGAGACTTGAGCAGGGAACACTGGTGAAGAACATCAAAACCATCAATCCAGTTGTCATCACTATCCTGAAAATTGAGAAAATCTTTTTCTGCCTAGCTGGATGCCAGCCACACCTGTACATTATAATTTGAAATGTGATGAAATAAAGGCCCATCCAGTGGTATGCTGGTAAACCATTACAACTGGCTCTCCATGGAGGAAGAACTCTAATTTCTAGAGCTGCCAATCTGGCTGAATTTGTCACTGAATATGGGATTGGGAAGAGACATACAGAATTGGTTTTGTAAGCCGGAGCTCACCACTGGGCTTTCACAGGTCTTTAAAATCCTATTTCATTCCCAAAGACTCCTGAGGAAAAAGCCAAAGTGTGTGTGTGTGTGTGTGAGAGAGAGAGAGAGAGAGAGAGAGTGAGTGTGTGTGTTTGTGTGTGTGTGTGTGTGTGTGTGTGTTGGTGGGGTTGGGGACAGGGGACAACCACAACAAGACACAAAACTAATATCACCAAATAGATTAATGCACAAACATAAGAGGTCAAGATGGAAAAATTCTAACATTTGAGACAGAAAGAAAATTGACAAACCTAATGAAAACCAATCTGCAATTCCAAGAAAAGTTTCTGAATAAATGTTACTCTTTTCTGATCTAACTTTTTAACCCATCAGATTGACCCCTTCACATTAAAAAGACAAATGGCCTTATTTATATCTCCCTCCAACAAACATTTTGTGCAGTATGCATGCATTCCAGTCACCCATCAAGGGCACGGTTAGTTTCAAAGACTAAAGAAGACAAATCACTGGGGAATCCTTTCCGTCGCTCCTTTCACCGCAGAAACCTGGTGAGGGTGGCATCTGTACTGTCTTTTAGACACTGGTTCTTAACACTGACTGTGTATCAGAATCCCCTGGAGTGCTGATGAAAACACAGACCCCTGGAGCCCAACCCCAGAGTTTCTGGTTCAGTAGATCCAGGTAGGGCCTAAGAATATGCATTTGTAATGACTTCCCAGGTGGTGCTGATGCTGCTGGAACTGGGACCACCCTTTGAGAACCACTCTCTTACATGATTTTGGATCACTGCCATCAAGTCATCTTTCTTGAGGAAACCACAATTCTCTCCCTTACCAGCCATTTTTATGTATAGACAATGAGAGATCTGACACCCCTCCATGGCCTGCCAGTCGCTTCTGCACATGCATCTGCTTTGGTGCAGGCGTGCCTGGCCTGCTGTTACAACCAAGCACTGAGAGCACACTGAGTGTCGAAGCTGTTTTAATGGGGTCCTCAAGAGCCTCAACTGCTCCCCCTGTTATTTCATCTTTCACCGCCACCTGGGACTTTACCACGTGCGGTGGGCTGGGTGAACCGCACTGCCCCCCTTATAGGTGAGGGAGTTTAGGGTCCCAAGAGGGGACTTGACCTGCCCTTGTTGGACTGTGCATTTTAGACTGAGCCTCACTTCCTTTGTACCCCATTTCCAGTTAGGAGCCCACTGGGACCAAAATCAGGTGGGAGTAGCAGGTGGCGTCTGATCGCAAACCAGGCCATCAACTGATTCCTTACTTTCCTCACTACATATGCTCTCCGGACTCCTTGCCTGGCTCTAATGGGCCCTGGATGCTGTTTTTGGAATTCCTGTTTCTCACTAGTACAATTTTTCTTTGTTCTCTGTTGCTGTCACACTTGTAAGCAGCTACTTCCTGTCACTGCTCAGGTTCAGGTAAGCCCCAACAGTGCTCCCCACTTCATTGCTGAGGGCTTAAAGGCTGGGTGACGGTGTCCTTGGGGCACCCCACCCCAGCAGCCAGGTGAGGGAGCCCCCTCCAGGGCGTACTTCCCAAGGACACAGGGGTGTGGTGAGCGTGTCCTCTCCACTGTCTGGCGGGAGAGCCCAGTGTGGCAGGGGCCCCTCAGAGCGGTATGACCCGTGTTGCTCTGAGGGCCTGCTGGAGGGCACCCGGGAATCAGTCCCCTATGTTCAAACAGCTTCCCCCTTTACATCCCATTTGCCGGGTGGACAAGAGTAGAGCCTAAAAAGTCCATGCTTCCATAGCTGGAGAAGTGCCTTTAAAGTACACACCAGAGGCTCTCAGAAATAAACCAGCTCTCCCAAAGTCCCAGAAAAATGTGGCTTGAGGCATTCCTCCGCCCACCACAGTCTGGTGGCCTGATGGGTCAACATTTCTCAAAGACATCCTTCAGCACTTAACGAGTAACATTAGGCCAGGGACCTAACCTCTCTGTGCCTCGTCTGTAAAACAGGAGCAGTGACAGTGCCCACCTCGTGGGCTTATTGTGAAGATTAAGCGAGCACCTGCACGTAAGTTCCCTCCGAGGATGCCTGGCGGAGGAAGCCACAGCGTCTAGCTCCAATAACGATGCTGCTCTTATCATTACAGAGGCCACCAACTGTGTGTTTGCCTCATTTATGTCACTTAGAGTTCTCAGTTACATGCAAATAAATGAAAGAAGGATCCCTTTCCACCAATGGGTCCGACACGCAGTGTGTTTTTCCTGCAGGAAGGGAGGGAACCGTGGGGCCCATCCCCCAACATGGTAAAAGAGGGGCATGGGAGGACCGAAGGGGTCTTTGAGGGGCCCACCAGGTCAAACTGCCTTTCAGAGGAAAGCCGCAGCTGAGCGGCAGCCAGGGGCAGATTCAGCAAGTGAATAAAACCGCCGCCTTTGGAACAAAAGAAGCACCCCTGCCAATCCCACACTTACTTCCAGGACCGTCCATTGTTCGACAACAATAGCATCATAGCCCGGCATGGTTTTGCTATCTTCTGTGGAAACAGCTTCAAAGATGAATACTCCATCTGTCAGGCTGTGTAAGGAATCTGTTGAAAAAAAGAGAAAAAGGGGGGGAATCTGTAAACCGTCTGTGGCAGAAGCCTTACAAGCAGCAAAAATTTTCACTGCATTCATTAATAATCCCAATCAGAACATCTTTTCAGCATGTTAATTAAAGAAGGCACGCACAGCCATAGAGTCTAGCCCCATCAGAATGAATGAGGCTAATTTACCTCGCAGTTCTGAATAATATCCTTGATTTTATGAGCCCAAATTTCATTGTTAGCAATCACCATTTGATTTCACGCGTTTACCTTCCTTTCCACGCTCCAACGTCAGGATGCGCTGGGGAGAACTTATTCAGGGCAAAACACAGTCATTTAGAGACAGTTTTTAGAAGAAAACTATATTTAGGTGAGAGGGTTTTTTTTTGTTTTTTTTTAAAGGGGGGATAGATGTAACACACCAGATCTGAGCTTGTCAGACGCATTCTAGGTGCGCTGATTCTTGGAAGCTCCCAGGATGTGGGCTGCTGTACAGACAACTCTTTAGGCAGCTCTTGTCAAGAAAAGGAATTTGGGGGAAGGGGGAGTTTTCCCAAGTGATTTATCACTGAAAACGTTACCTTGGGCATCGCTTTAATCAATGTACCAAGTTCTGAGTTCTGTACAATTCAACAAATGTACACTACACATACATCATGATTCAAGACTGTCTTGGGCAATAAACGTATAAAGAAAATTACAGCAGGGTCCCTAGCCCCACAGAAGACATTAAGGGAGGAGTTTTCTGCCTCTTTTTTCGTTAATAGCTCCTAATGCCCTAGATTCATTTAGATCAGAGATTGTGGGAAAGAGGACTGGACTTAGCAAGTGGTTTGGGTCCATGCATTATCAAGAGCAGTGATGTGACCGCTTTCAGGGACTTGGTCTCTAATCTGTGAAATGTTGTGGTGGACAGACAATCCTTCCTGTTCCCTAGATTCTACTCTACAAATCACTGCTCAGTCAGACTGTTATGGACTGAATTGTGCCCCCCAACTCCCATCTCCACCACAAATTCTATGTTGAAGCTCTAACCTCCAAAGTGGCTGTATTTGGAAATAAGGCCTTTAGGGAAATAATTGAGGTCATAAGAGTGGACCCTAATCTGTTAGGTCTGATGTCCTTATAAGAAGTAGAACAGACACCAGATCCCTTCTCCAGTCCTTGCACAGAGGAAAGGCCATATGAGGACACAGGTAGCTAGCTGTCTGCAAATTAGGAAGAGAGGTCTCACCAGAAACTAAATTTGCCAGCACCTTGATCATAGACTCCATTTCAAGTAAGATCCCTGTAAGTTAATCAATACCATGATTATTTGTTCCCTACCCTGACAGTCTGTTATCAAACAGCCTTAGCAAAAGTTCTAAGCTTGTCTCACTCATCTGCTCTGCTAAACAACTCCCCCTACGTGTTTGTTCAATGCCCTCCTAAGAGACATTTTACAAAGGTGACCAGGGAAGAACAGAGCTGTTCTGCAGCTGAACTACAAGTATTCTGGGGTCCAGACAAGCATGGACCATAGTCCAGCTCACCTTGAAAGTTATGGCCCAGCTGGAGGCCCTGCCGCAGTAGCCATGGTCTGCAGAACGAAGCTCTTTCAATAAAGCTTTCCCAAGTCCTGGCCTGGGGATGCTTGGGACCAGAAGATACTCAATGATTCCTTTGGGATTATATCAACACAGCACAAATTCCCTTGGGGCTTCTACAAAAATGTGTTACATCCAATTTCCAAAGTCTTTACCTACAGATCTCCTCAAAGGCCTTTAAATGTGTCTACCATGTACTTCAAACATTTGGATGCCTGACCTGAAACAAATAACGTGATGGTGTTTAGACTGCCAAAAGCACTGTACTGCAGAGCTGAGGTCCAGAAGGGGGAGAAGACACTGCAGCCCATCCAGACTTTCTTTCTCACCCCCCTGCCTGGCTGCCCCCATCCTCCTGAGTCACAGGCCCGGGAAGAGGGCTGTGTGGTGAGTGGGGAGAGGTAAAGCTGTGCTTGGGGGTGTGAAGTAGGAAAAACCAGGCCCTTATTTCCCAGCCTCATCCAGTGCCTGCCTTGCAGCCCCTCAGCCCGCTGCTCCACTATCTGAATCCAGGTTCACCTACTTAACTCCAAAGTAAGTTCAGAATGGCTGTCAAAATTTGGTCATCTGTAACAGCAAAAAAGTCAATGAACCACAGAGAGCAGACAGCTCGGCTTTTAAACTGCCCCGTTTTGATGACAGTGCCCACTCCCGTCTCCTCATTGCCCTCTGGCTCAGCCTCCCTGTAATGTGCACCAAGTTGGGTATAAATAGCTCTATCTTAGAGCGAAGGCTCCTGATGTAAAAGGTTAGATCGCCCTCCATCTCTGGAAAACACTCCATTATCACTGTGTTTTTTTATAAAAGTAAAGCAGCTTCCCTACTGTGCACAGAGAGCTATTTGCTCTGGTATTGTATAAATATTTGATGCCAGTCTTTTGGCAAAAGGCCACCTTAACACTCCAAGCTTATGATTTACAAGAAGGAAGTGGGAAAAGGAGATTTACCCTATTATCCCAAGAGGTAAGTTCTATGAGGCAACGGTTCGTCCCCTGTGGCCTCTGACACATTAACACTCCGTCTGGCAAGCTAACCTGCAGGCTCAGCCTAGGTGCTAGTCTTCCCCAAAGCCTGGCCGGAGACATGAACACCATGTCAAATGGTCAAGGTACGTGGTCTAGAAGGAAACGTTACTGTGCTCCTTGGAACCAGCTAGATTGGACTAAATTGCCCACACTGGGGTGGCTGGCGTAACAGATTTCCTTGGCTGTCTGAAAGCCCCTTCTCCCCATCAGACACTGCATGGTGCTCGTGGCACCACCCTGGTTCCAAGAATGGCTGTGCCACAGTAATTACGTGTGTTGTCATGCTGACCTCTAACCCCACTGCAAATGTAAACACCGATCGGCCAATCCCAGCTGATGGTGCCACGTTGCTTCCCAATCACACTGCAGCTAATCTGCTGACATCAAAAAAGCAAGCAGACTCGCTGCCTTCCCCTATTTGTCCGGCCCTCGCTGCTGCTCCCGGCTTGCCTTCCTTCCTGCATTCAGTTTTAAGCAGTGAATAATTAGGGGAGATATTACCCCTCTTCAGTTACAGCAAGGGCAGCCTGCAAGCCCAGTACCACTGAATGGACTAGATGGGGAAGAAATGCTGATTCATTGCCTTCATGTGTGCAGCACCAGGCCAGGCACAGTTCATGGTTTCTTGCTGAGTCCTCCCCAAAGTTTGGCATTCCCTCTTAGTAGCTGAGAAAATGGAGGCTGCAGCAGTTAAACCATTTATTCATATTCAAACGGAATGTAAGGCTCAGCCTAGGTGCTAGTCTTCCCCAAAGCCTGGCCGGAAACATGCACACCATGTCAAATGTCAATGTACATGGTCTAGAAGGAAATGTTACTGTGCTCCTTTGAACCAGCTAGATTGGGATCAAACCACATTTAGATCTCAAATGTGGTTTGATCCCAAAGTTTATACTCTTTCAACAACTCACAGGTATTTATTGAGCTACCAAGATGACGCACCAGGTGCTGCCACAGGAGCTGGGGTGGGAGATGAACAGCCTAGGTCCCTAGCCTTGGGAGCAGGTGCTCTCTAACCAAGACATGGCACTCCCTGCCTGGGTGGCATCTCAGTGGAGTCATAGTGAGATGCCTTAGGGCTTCTGTTTGGAGCTGAATCTGTACAGACGCCCATGCCTTCCTACGTAGAGCAAAAATAAAAAATATATATACTTGTAAATGAATTAAGTTATTATACATCCACACAAGGGATAGTATCAGCAATGAGAAAAAGTGATCTATAATTACATGTGAATATGTGGGTGAATCTCACAAACATAAAGAGCAAAAGAAGCCAGACAACAAGGGCATATTCCATGCATATCAAGTTCAAAACTTCAAATCGAAACCACAATGAGGTATTACCTCAAACCTGTTAGAATCGCATATCATAAAATAGACAAGAGATAAGTGCTGGGAGGTTGTGGAGAAAAGGGAACCCTTGTCCACTGCTGGTGGGAATGTAAATTGATGCATCCATGATGGAAAACAATATGGAGATTCCTCAAAAAATTTAAAAAATGGAACTACCCTCTGATCCAGCAATTCCACTTCTGGATATAGTATATTCAAAGGAAGTGAAATCACTATCCCAAAGAGTTTTCTGCACCCCTATGTTCACCAAAGCATTTTTCACAATAGTCAAGACATGGAAACAACCTAAGTGTTTGTTGATGGTCTAATGCATAAAGAAAATGTGATACACAAAATGGGATATTATTCAGCCATGAAAAAAGAAAGAAATGCTGCCCGGCTGGTGTGGCTGGGTGGTTGAGCATCAACCCATGCACCAGGAGGTCACTGGCTCAGGGCAGGTGCCTGGGTTGCAGGCTCCATCCCCGGTGGGGGGCATGAAGGAGGCAGCCAATCGACGTTGATGTTTCTTTCTCGTTGATGTTTCTATCTCTCCCTTTCCCTTTCTCTCTCTCTCTCGAATCAACAAAAACATATTTAAAAAAAAAAAAAGGAGAAAAACCTGCCATTTGAAACAACATGGATAGACCTTGAGGGCATTATGCTAAGTAAAATGTCAGAGAAAGAAAAATGTGTATGATATCACTTACATGTGGAATCTAAAAAAACCAACCTCCTAGAAACAGAGAAGTGGAGGGTGGGGAGAAATGGGTGAAGGTGGCCAAAGGTACAAACTTCTAGTTATAAGATGAATAAATTCTGGGGATGTAATGTACAGCATGGTGACTATACGTAATAATATCATACTGTGTATTTGAATGTTGCTAGGAGAGCATATTTTGAAAGCTCTCATGACAGGAAAGGACATTATGCTGCACAAGAGGCTAGGTTTATTTCAAGCAGTTATGGTCATAAAAATGACTCTTCTAAGTAAGTAAAAGAGAAGTGAAGACATGGTCCCCATCTGCAGAACGTGTCACTGGATTGCATCCTGGTTTGGGCAATTTGCTGCAAAGGACATTTTTGAAACAACTGAAGTCATCTGAATACGGGCTGGATAAAGATGCTGCTGCCAGAAGGGGAGAGGACTGGGGGGCTAGGAGAGGGTGAGGGCAGGGGCAGGGGCAGGGTCGGTGCGGGGAGGGCCAAGGGCAGAGCAAGGAGAATAGAATGAGGGCAGAGTGAGATGGGGACAAGCAGAGAGCAAGGAGGGGACAAGGAGGGGGTGAGGGTAGAATAAAAGAAATGCAGAGCAAGGACAGGGCCAGGGGGACAAAGGGAGGGCCAGGGGGGCAAAGGAAGGCCAGGGCAGGGCAAGGAGAGCTGGTGGCAGCAGCAGCAGCCTTGGTGGCCAGTGAGGGCAGTAGGGATTCTGTTAGTCTGGAAGCCCTTGGTGAGAAATCAGGTTCCTGGGTGGGTCTTCAGATGGCGGGCAGCCAGCTCCGCCTTGCCGTGACCCCTGCCAGCTCCTCAACAGCCAGCTCAGCAGAAGGCCTCTCCTCCCTGCCTCTTCCACCTTCTAGAAGCACGGATTCTGGCCTTTGTCCCACTGGCTGGAGTGTTTCTCTGTGCCTGTCCTCTCTGCTATCTGACCAGCCCCAGGGCTCATCCACACCGCTGTCTGGCCACCCAGGTCCTGCTGCTTCCCTGAGGGTGACCCTGGAGCTCCCCTCCCTCTGTGAGGGCCACCTCGACTTCTCACCAACCTGGCCTCCTCTTTTCTCTCCTCATGTCCCTTTCCCTGCCCACACTCTTCTTTCTCCCTGCCACCTTCTTGCCTTGGCAATGACTTAATCACCCTGTGCCTCAGTGTCCACAGCTGTAATACAGGGACAGCGAAAGTGCCTCCTTCACCGTGTTGTGGGATTAAGTGAGCAGCTCTGTTTGAGCTGCTTCGAGTAGCAACAGCAGTACCTGCTAGGTGGCCATGAGCATCAGCACACTGTGCTTTCACCTGGGCCTTAGGTGGCCAGGGCCCGAAGGCACAGCCTCCCCAGCCCAACACATCTGGCTACTCATTCTAAGGAGAGAAGCCCTGGACACCATGAACAGCAGCCCAACCCTGAGGATCACGCGAGTCTTTCCCTGTCCTGGGGAGCAGAGCCTTGAAAACAGAAGCTGGAGTCTTAACTGGATAATTCAGGCTGAAATATTGCCTTGATTATGGTGCAAAGTTCTCATGAGTTTCATGACCGTGTGGAAAATAATTTGGAGAACAAAGACCCAGGTAAGGGTAAGATGGGTGCTTTTCCAGGTGGCAAACAGCTTAATGGCGTGTTTCTAGCTCTGCCAGGTCTATTTGTAAGGGCACTTACTGTCTCCTTAGAAACAGGTTCCTTTTCTTATTATGAATACCTTGCTTTTTTTTTTCAATTTTGGGAAAAGAATATATGCATATTTCATCCCTGGCCAGCGGAAACCTCGGGCTTTTCAGGAGCAGAAACGCCCTACCCCACTAAGCATTATTCCCAAGTCACACTCTCCCTGCCATCAGAAACATACAGGGTGAAATTGGGTTTGAATTCTGAGCAGGTTTAAATTGATTTTGTTCTGAGAATTTTGCAGGCATCCCAAGACAGCTCCAGGGGAGCCCTCACCGTGGGCAGCCAGGAGTGGAGATGTCACAGGCTCAGTGCAGGATCACACAGCTGCACTTGCCAGGGGGAATTTCATGTTCTGTCTTCAAGGCAGGAAGACTGGATTTAATGCAGCTAAAGCCGAGGGCAGATATAATAGCATTTCAAACACCCGAGTCAAATCGGAAGAAAAATCTGTGTGGTTGGACTCCAGGTTGGAGAATGGGGTGAGGAGATGTGGAGCAGATGCAGCCTCAATTGCCAAAGCTACAATGGCTAGGGAAAAAATAAATGGCATTTCAGACTTTCAAGGTGACCTCTTATAGGGTTCAGTTTGCCCCTGACATGCTTGGGCAGTAAGGCCAAAGAGAAAAACTTCCCTTTTGACTCCCCAGTTCTCCTAAGGGGGAAAAAATTAACACTGGCTGTCTGCACATCTTTAAGACGTTAGCACAACCAACCATCAGTTTCCCAAGGAGAAATTTAAAACTATGCATGGCCACAGGGGCTCCAAGAGCAGATAAAAGGAGCCGATGCTACTACAGTCCACGATGGGAGACGGGGTGTCCCTGCAGAAGCAGGAACTAAAAGGTTCCTCTCCTGCTTCCCCAAATGCTGATGAATCACGGCTGTGAACATTTCCCCAAGCAGATGCCACTGATGTTTTATGGTGCATCTCAAAACAGATGGTGACATTCTCTAGCTTCAGGGAACTCTGCAAACACCCACGGGAGGCCTCCTTGTACAGAGGGAGGTTAAGGATCTTGATGCCAGAGAACCGAATTGGCTCTTCGTTAGTTATATTAATGAAATGGACACTCCAGCACAGTATGGTCCAATACACTAGCCACTAGCCACATACAGTCATGGAAATGGAAATGAATAAAAATTAAATTCTAAAATTCAATTCCTCAGTCCTCTTAGCCACATTTCAGCTGGCCATTAGCCATGTGTGGCTACCATATTGGACGGCATAAAAATAGGACATTCCCATCATCGCAAGATGAAGTTCTATTGGAAAGCGCTGCTCGGATGTATTCATAATGAGCCAGTCACCTTTCTTATGTCATTCACCATTGCACAACCGGCAGCGACCCACTATACCACATGATGCCTGCTGCTATTACACTCTCACATCAGCTTAGATATAGGTATTTACACAGTAAAAGGGATGGCATCCAAAGTTGAGACCTGTCTGTGCTGTACAGTGTTCTAAGGCTTTGGGTGACTTACAGAAGGGTCATACCAGAATTAAGACTGATGTCTCTTCTAAGCATGCTTGCTGCATTTCAAGGATTGCAAATAATGTAGAATCCAAACTCCATTCCTGACTTTGCTAGTTCTTAGAGAAAAAACTACTCAGCTACCAAGACTGTGCTGTTGATGCCCCCCACCATGTTTGGCTGGGACTAACAAATTCAGTGTAACATTTCACTTACCCAGGAATCCCGCTGACTGGCAGCCCTCAGGATCCACACATGCTAGCTTGTTGGCCCCACTCCCCAGATTGCCTCCCAGCTTGGATGCACCCTAGTGACTCAACTTGCCTTCGTGTTAACCTGAGATCCCTTCTTTGCTTGACACATTTTCCCACTGTTGGCAGACTTTCTCTCTTGCCTTCAAAAAGCTGACAGCAATGTTGCCAGCCCGTGCAACAAACCCCAGAGATAACCCGTTATCGGGGAGGAAGTATTGGGTGCCATGAGACCCAGGAACAATGCGTGTCCCCATGGAGCTTACAGGAACCAGGCTGTTCAGTTCACGTCTTGGCTGTTAATTCCAAAGTGTGGCTACTGCTACTTCAAACTGCAATAGTGTCTACAAACAATTCACACTTTCGAGAAGCATGATCCCAGGGGGTAATTAACAAAACCTGGGAACAATCTTTTTCAAAGCCTTGAAAAGCAACATATAAATCGAGACCACCACTACTGAAACAGAATCACTCCTCTTTCTCTGTAATTTCAGAAGATACCTGGCTGAACCCTGGAGAGGTTGAGAGGGCATAGGTGGTGGGCTTTATGGAAAACTCCTCAAGATGTGTTCATTAGAAACCAAACGCAGCACGTTTATCAGCTGCAGAGCTTCCTGAATGGAACAGGCTCTGAAGAGGGGCTCAGATGACAAGGACGAGAAGCCGAAGGGCCCCCCGGGGGCTGTGACTCCGTACCGTTGACCATGCCGAGGTAGAAGACTGCGTTCACCAGCACGCCTCCTTTCCTGAAGTGCTCGCTCATGTGCTCCAGCCAGTTGGCATCCAAACCGCTCACCGTCTGGCCGTTCGTGGAGACCCGGAGAGGGATGGTGACGGGGTAGTATTGCCGGCACTCCTGATGGCTCTTCGGTCTGTTGAAAAGGGCCAAGATCTCCATTTCTGTTGGGATTGGTAAAGGGGGTGGGGAGACAAGAGTTTATTTATTTATTTATTTTAAATATATCTTTATTGATTTCAGAGAGAGGAAAGGAGAGGGAGAGAGAGAGATAGAAACATCAATGATGAGAGAGTCATTGATCAAGTCTGCAACCGGGCCTGTGCCCTGACCGGGAATCAAACCCTGGTCGCCTGGATCCTAGGTTGACTCTCAACTGCTGAGCCACGCCTGGCTGGGCGAGACAAGAGTTTAAACAGCGATAAGAAGCTGCCTCATTGAATCTAGTGGAATCTCTCAGGAGCCTGAAGAAATGATATCAAAGGTAGAAATCTCAGTGAGGGTGAGATGCTGCCAAATAATAAAACCTGACATGGACCTCAAAGGTTGGACTTCAAGTGGGGGACTTAAGTTTTGAATCTGGCATATAATGAATTGCTGTTATCTGGGATTCATTTGTACAGTTAGGTGTTTGAGAGGACAGCGTAGAGAGTCCTAGAAATTCATACAAAGGTGTTTTGAAAGAAGGAGCAGACATACTTGGGCAAGAGCTGGCCTTAAAAAAAATAGTAAATGTACACAGGCACATAAAAGCAAAAATAATGCTGCAATTCCAGGAACCTTGTACACCCCTGAACTCGCTATTTATAAACTGCAGTGGTGTTTCCTGGGGCCGAACCCATAATACTTAATCAAGCACATCAAAAATACATCACTGATATGTAAAAATAAATATGTTCCTGTAAATGAGGGTTCCTGCCTGGAGTGGAAGGTCTGCTCAGCCAGAAGGGGCCTGGCAACGGGGGCGCTGAACTTTCTGTTCCTTCATTTATAGCTCAGTCCTTCAAAAAATCAATAGTCACTACCACCTGGCAACTGACCCCTGCCTGCTGCACGTGCTGCCGGCCATGAGTGAGCAGTATGGGCCTCTGGGAGCAAATACCTGGAATTTCCATCTAAGTCTGAAGGTCTATTTTTGTGTGATTCGTTTAGTCAAGCAATCAGGGTTCACCCAGCTTAAAAAGCTCTGCTTAAACAGGCTAGTCGGGGCTACGCTTTGGTTTCTAAAAATATCTGTTTCAATAAGAAAATCCCCGCCCTTCTTTCAAAGAAATATTTTAAAGGTCATAAACAATGGCTGACATTAGCAAAAAAGACAAATGTCACAATCATGCTCCCCGCAGGAGGTACCTGGCCTACACCCACACTCTGGGATGCTGGAGCCGGTATGTCAGTATTTCATAGCTTGTGCACTATCCAAATAAAGAGACTCACTTTCCTTTATTCAAATAAACACATTTTAAAAGGAAACTCTGCTTCCAGATCATAAGGGAAACAACTACCACTTGCTATAAACAGGAGGGAACGATGAGCCGCATTAACACCAAATAAGTCCATCCGTGTAACATCTAAAATTATCTCACATAGGAATTGTATTCTGGACAAAGGAAGTCTTTTCACAGCCCCATCTGATCCAGCATCAGCAGAGGTCTCTGGGGAGCAATGCTGGGCCATGAGCCTTTGTCATCAGCACGAGTTAAGCTCCGGGGGTTTGGGGGGGGGCATTTCCTGCTATCCACGGGCTAAAACCGATCAGGAAAGGAAGGTGCCCATCTTCACAAGTGGCCACCTGGATTTTAAACCACCACCTCTGGCCTCTTCATTATCCCCACCCCCTTTCTCAGTCCACTTGCCTGACTCAGGAAGCCATCTCCAGCCAGTAAATGCGTTCACACGAGAAATTAGGTCTTGGTGTACGGAGCTGGCAATCGCTAAATTATTTCGTGACTTTGAAACACACACTTGAGGGATGGAGTCATGCAGACTAAGGTTTGTAATGGAGGGGAACCAAGCAATGGATTGGAGCTGGGGGTGGGACAGGATGCGAACTAGATAATCAGGTATTTTCCAGCTCTAGGTGCCAGGGGTTCAAGTAAGAGCCATAACTACAAAGGCAAGAGGCTAAGCAATGTTTAAACGAATCCTTGATTTCATCTGGATTTCTTCAAAAGCAGACCCATTTGGGAAGTGATCCCAGGAAACAGAGTGAGGGGGTAGGGGTGGGAAATAGGGAAGAGATAAAAGTCAATGAAGGGTGTATTAATGAGAGGGTCACTCTGACCACTGGGGCTCAGTCCCCCTGAGATGCTGCAGAGAACACACCTCAGGCTGCCTTACCAAGGGATGGAGGCAAGGGAGCAGAGGGCTTTATCCGCAGGGACTGCGGGTCATCCTTGAGGCATTAATTCTGGCCCTGCTGGGTGTGTTCCCATTCCAGGGGACACCTGCGGGGAGAGGCTGAGAAAGCTGTTCTCAGGTGACTCCAAGGTAGACCACAGCACCAGTAACCACAGTGCGCTATAGTCAAGCACAAATGCGCACGAGTTAAAAAGAAAAAGAAAAAGAAACCACAGTCTTTACATGGGAAAAATGAGTGGGGAATCTGTAAGTGGCTGAAGTCCAAAAATATATGACAACACTTGATCACACAGGATTCCCCACACACAGCAAGACAAAAATACAACCTTCTCCAATGCAAAAGGGAACAGAAAAAGGGGAAGGCCAAGATGAGAAGTGAGAGCGCGGGGTGGCCTGAAGGGAACACAGGGGCAATCACACAAGGTGCGGAGCTGACAGGGCACCCGCCTTCCCGCCTGCACCCTCCCCAGAGTGGAGGACCGAAGCCAGAGACAGAAATACATTTGTCAGGAAGGACAGGAAACGCTGTTGGAATCAAGAGCCTCCAAAGCATTCGTAGTAATGAAATATTGGGAGAAACCTGATTTCAGATGCCTAACCCTTTAGTAAACTCCTCCGTCCCTCTGTCTCCTTGGCCACGATCCTCTCTACTCACATGGAAACCAGCCAAGAGAAACTGTCCCTGAATGACGTCCTTTGATGTTTTAATATTCTGATTCTCCGACACACATCCTCACATGAGCAGGCACCAGGGATTCCAGAAAGAAGCCCCAAGTTTGTTTAAATTTTCTCAGCTGCTCTGATGCAGTCATGACCCCAGCTGGGAGATTTTTCCAGACATTGGACAGAAAGTCCCAAAGGAGGGGGGAAGGCATTGTTTCTGAGAATGATCTGAGAATGGCTGAAGCCCAGGGCTGGCACAGAACCAAAGCATCAAGACTGTCCTGTATTTCTATTTCTGTCTTGTCTTTCTCCCTGACACAGGGGCCTTGTCTTGTGCCATTCAGGTCATCTGTGACTAGATACATCCCTGTAAATGACAGGTGATGCACAGATGTTTGCTGATCGACCTAAACCAGACAACTGCAGGAAGCTGAGGGAGGAAGAGGAGGTGTGGGGCACCCTGGGTGCTGCCAGCCTGCCAGCCGGGTCCACTCTGGCCTTGCAGAGCTCCTTGGGAGCAGGCAGGAATGAGGCAGATGTCCAGTTCTGAGGCCTGGACCAGGCAGTGGCACCTTAGGCACGAGGTGGAAGTCTGTAGTCTGTCTGCAGGTCAGGTCCCAGAGAGTCTGTGACTTGCAGGCAGCAGGAGGCCAGCTGGTCCTTCCAGGTTGGAAGGGACAGAGGGCTCAGAGTCTGGCTTAAAACATGGGGCTCCAAGGGCTAGACTGGGAGGAGGAAGAGGTTGGTGAGTTAGCTGGAAGGGGAAGAAACTTGTGGGAGTCAGACTTGGCCTGGTAGCTGGACTGAGTGGGGGCTTAGGTCTGCTGAGGTCATGGGCAGAGAGAGCTAAGCAGAAAGGTTTGCATTGGGAAGGCAGGGTTGAGGGTCCCATCGTGGGAAGAGAGGGTAGAGGGCCTTGGGCCCATCCAGATTCCTGAATCTGCGAGAAGGCTGCTTTAGGCTTCCATCAGGCTCAGGTACTAACAGCAGGCACCTCTGGGTTCAGCTGAGGCTTGTTTTCCAGGGCAAAGCATGGGCACCACTGCATGCACAGCATGCCATGGGAATCCACCGGTAAGGGTAACAACAGCCATAGGCATGCGCACTGTATTGACAAGAACCTTTCACCTTCACCATCTCATGTGGCTCTCCCAATCTCCATCGGTTCTGTTCCCAGAAGCCTCAAGTGGATCCCCCAGCTTACCTGCTCACAAGTTGGTAAGTGGCAAAGCCAAGAGTCTTTCAAACCCCAAAGCCTGGGCTATTCCCAAATCTAACAAGAGGGCTAATTTCATCAGTACACAGAAGGCAAGAGCTGATGACCACGGGTGGGAGTTCAATAGCTGTTTGTTAATGGACTGAGTCAAAGGCCAGAAAGATGGTGGCAGGTGGCAGGTTTGGGAGGGGGCAGAACCACGGGGTAGAACCATCCTGGGGGCATGGGGAGGGAAGGGGGCCATGCATCAGAAGAGCCGGACTCAGGAGGGTACCTCCTCTCTCTCTCCCCACAATGAGCTGCCTGCCAAGGAGGCCTATTGACTAAAATCCCCTCAGCCGAGAAGTACCATTGAGATCACTGGCTCAGTTCCTGGCTGGCACTTCTAAGCATTTTGAGTGGGTACAGGGCAAGAAGGGCAGTGCTTTGAAGACATTGTATTATTATTTCGGTGACAGTGAGAACAGTTTCAATTTGCATGAACCTGTCTGGCCTCCTTGTTTCTGTGACTGAAGTTGCAGCAGCAGAGACACTGAGGGAAGGACAAGATGGGGACGCTGAAGGCCAGGAGAGAAGTGACAGGCAGACATCCAGCGACACCTTCCTAACCTTTCCCTGCACTGGCCTTCTCACCTGGCCTGCTTACTACAAACAAAGAAACAAGTTCCCTATGGACAGAAATGCCTCACAAGGGGCCGGTCATGCTCTTCTGAGTGGAGCTTTATGGGGCGAGGGAGTGTGAGAAGGGAAAAGGGAAGCGTCCTGGAGCAGCGAGACATGAGACTGTCCCTGTGCCAGCTCAGGTGATCTCTGCACAGCGAGGCCATCAAACCAACAGGAAACTCCCCTGGACCAGGAAATAAAAGTCAATGAGCAGGAAGAAACCACATGATGGGCCTCTGAGGGACCTGAGTGGGCACACGGCATAACCTGTGGACCACAGCCATCGTCCCCTGGAGCCCGCGGGGATGGGGAGGGGGCCACCTGCCCTGTTTCCGATGGAGAATTCTCTGGCAAGCCCTATCTGAGCAGTCGCAGCCTAAACTGGCTCCCCTAGGCCTCCTATAAAGGAAATAAATTAACCGAGGAGAAAGAGGGGGAAGGAGGGAGACTCCCTCAGGACTTTTTTTAATTGTCTTGCTGTGATTGCCTATTTAAGCCCACCTGGCAGAAGGAGGCGTAAAAACACTTCACCCTCCTTAGGGGGCCCTGAGAGAAAGGCAAGCTGAAGGCTGAGCAAGCGGTGGAGAGGGGAAGCTTGTGGGGAGGGGTGCTGGGGGGGGG